TGATATGAATGGAAGGGGAGAGAGAGTGGGAAAGGGGAGGGTTACAGGTGGGAGGGAAGTCATCGGGGGGGGGGGAAGCCAATGTAGTCCATAAGCTGTACTTTGGAAATCTATATTCATTAAATAAAAGTTAAAAAAAATGTTTAGGCCCTGTTGGCCCACCCCTACCCCATTTCTTATTTTCGAGCATGTATCTCTTCCCTCCTTACTGATTGGGAAAGCCACACTGTGCCTGGCTGGCAGCTTGCTCTTCAGGAGTTGGAACAGGAAACTTCCCCATCAGGCCAAGTCTGGAAAAACAATAGTTTTGCCCAACCTGCCCTGGGGGCCACATGCCTGGCCTAAGAGGGAGAGGAAACAGTGAAACCCTAACTTAGTAAGGAGTCCCAGATGCCTGGGACATTAACTGATCCACAGAGTGTAGTCCTAAAACCCTTGTGGGAGGCTACAGATTTACTAACTTCATGGCTTAATAGTTTACAGTCATAAATTGCAAATACTAAGGCCTGGCATTGTGGCATAACTGGTTAAGATGTCACGTGCCATAACAGCAACCCATATGAGTGCCAGTTCAAGTCCTGACTGCTTCATTTCCAATCCATCTCCTTGGAAAAGTAGTGGAGGACAGTCCAAGTATTTGGGCCCCTGCCACCCACATTAGAGACCCAGATAAAGCTCCTGGCTTCTGGCTTTGACCTGGTCCAGCCCAGCCATTTTGGCCATTTGGAGACAGAATCAGTGGCTGGAGGATCTCTCTCTCTCTCTCTCTCTCTCTCTCCCTTTTTCACTGCTTCTATCTGTAACTCTGCATTTCAGATAAAATAACTTTTAAAATGCAGAAGTACTAGAACTAGCCTGTGAGTTTTCTTCATATCCCTGATATGCACTGTATTCTAGGGGCTGTATGTCATAATTCTGCCTACACACAGTAGGTGTTTTTCTTCTGTGAGCCTGGATTTTGAGCAATGTGTGGTTATTGTAAACACCATTGCCGGTTATTTTGTTGAAGCTTCAAGCCTAAGTTATAGGGATTTTGAAATGCACAAGGAGACACTCACACTGTCAACCACACAAAAACACACACATACATATACACACATTTGTTGTTAGTCGAAAACTTAAGTGAGATGAACCAGACCTGCATGGATAGTGATTTCACCTTTTTGTGTGCCTGGGAAGAAGGGACTGGAGCACCTGGGAGACTCTCCTCACTACATTGGCCTCCTTAACACATGAATGCACACTTGTGCACCAACACACATGCATGGGCCCTACCCAAAGACAGCTACAGCTCTCTCCAAGTAGCCCTACCAGTGAGGCATCCTGTGGAATATGTTCTAGTGACTTGAATGCATCTGACAGGATTCCAAGCCATGAGAAAACTATCCTGTTCTCACAGGTAGACTGTGACCCTGAACTTCTGCAGCATAATCCATTGATAAATCATTTTTTTTAAAATTTCCTGACTACTCACATTAGACAAAACCAACAGTTTATAGAAATTAAGACCATCTCTCTGTAACTTAGATCATGGTAAACTTTTGCAAACTATTTTGGTGATTTCTTCAACACTTTCCTTGTACAGGGCTTCTGCTCCCCCAATCCCACAGCTATGTTCAGTAAAGAGAGATGGGTCTGCTCTGAGAGCTGTCTCATGGCCTCCTTACTGTCAGACAATGCCTGCAGCTCCTGTGTCCTGCCTGTATGATGTCCTCAATTCTCCAACACACAGGCAGCTCCAGTGAGGGGTGGTGGTGACAGTGGTCATGATGCTGGTGGTGTGTGTATGTGTATTTCACATGAAGCAGCAAAAGTATAAAATACTTCATTTTTTCAAAATTTACTGTGTTCCAGAAATTTGTTGGCAACCCCCATCCTTGACTCATCTAGTTCTTTGGTTTTCACTATTTTTTTTCCTTTTGTCTTTGCCTTGTTATCTTGAGGATTAAAGAAGTAGCACACAACTTGACATTGAGTAAAACACTAAGTCACAGTATGTGATAGTATTCATCCTTTTCTGTTAGTAACTTTTGAAAGAGTTAAAGACAGTGAGAGGAAGAGACAGAGAGAAAGGTCTTCCTTCCATTGGTTCAATCCCCAAATGGCCACAATGGCTGGAGCTGTGCCAGAGCTATGCCAAACTGAAGCCAGGAGCCAGGTGCTTCTTCCTGGTCTCTTTGCGGGTGCAGGGCCCAAGTACTTTTGCCATCCTGCACTGCTCCCCCAGGCCACAGCAGAGAGCTGGATTGGAAGAAGAGCAGCTAGGACTGGAACCAGTGCCCACATGGGATGCCAGTGCCACAGGCAGAGAATTAACCTACTGTATAATGGTGCCAGGCCCAGTAAGTTTTGAAGAATGTATGAAGATAGTCATGAATGCACTAAGCGTTCAAATCCTGCTTCATTTCATGTGTTGTCTACATAACAAACATATTACAGGGAATAAAGTCCTGTTTAGTTTCACAAGTGCTAATGTCCCCCTACCTTTTGGGCATTGGCCCCAAACCTCCCTTTCAAGTTTTCAGGAGGGGCATCACATCAGCAGCAATAAGAAACCAGAGAGTGGGGATACCCTGGACCTTTTATTTTTTTAATTAATTTATTTATTTGAAAGTCAGAGTTACACACAAAGAGGAGGAAAGGCAGAGAGACAGAAAGGTCTTCCATCTGCTGTTGCTGTGGATTCGTTTCTGAAAGGAGGAGCATGGTGGAGGAAAGAGGCACAGGGTCACCACATAGACCCTGGGAGTTGGATGAAAGCAGGCCTGAGGCAAGCAGCTTGCAGACTCGTTTATTTCAGTTGCTACAGCTGCTTATATAGCCAAGGCATCCAATCCAGTCAAGGGGCAGTCTATGCCCTAACCAATCACAGCCTGTTGCCAGGCAGTTTCCAAAGCCATCCAGTCACAGCTTGTTGCCATTCAGGCTCTGTTGCCACGCAGTTTCTGAAACCATCCAATCATGGCCTGTTGTAAGTCCATCTCTGTTGTCATGTGGTTTCCAAAGCCATCCAATCATGGCCTGTTGCCAGGCAGTTTCTGTTGTCAGTGGCCATCTTGGCATGACCTTCTCACCTGCTCATGACCTTCTCACCTTCTCATTCCACCACTTTTCCCCCTTTTCATTTATTATTGAGCAACTGGAGGCATGATTCTTGGCCATACCATTGTTGACCCCATTTCCAGGTGGTCTCCATACACAGCTGTGTCTGTCTTAGGTTGTCCCCCAGGGGATCTTTCCCATCATTGACTAACCAGCACTCAAAATGAGAGACCACAAGAGTGCTTGCTCAGATAGGGTTAGGAATGAGGAACAATTGTTATCAGGAATGGCATGACCACATGCAGGCTGTGGGCCATTCAAGTGGCTGACCAGAGCTAGTGGCATATAAAATAGTAACAGATGGCTATGGGCAATTTCTCAGGGTAGGATGATAGGGCAGGTATGTCTGCTAACAAGGCAGATTCTCAGTCTTGTTCAGCTGGTTCTGGTTGGCTGTCAGTTGCAGGCTTGATGTTTCTGGCTGGTACCCAAATGGGCTGTCCTGCATTCTCTGGAAAGACACAAGCATATCCTCAACCCCTGGTTAGCAGAAGGTGTGGTCCTTCCCATTCTCCTGTCAGGGGGTCTTTCCACCTAACCATAGGGGCTGGGGTCTGGGATGGAAAGGATCCCCAGTGTTTGTAAGCTGGGCTCTTCACTTGGGAATCAAAAGTAAGAAAATTGATAGTGAAAAGGACCTCAGTCAAAGCAAGCTGTGGGTCTGGGGGCATATGATTGTTTTTCTGTCTTTGTAAGAGATCTTTAATCATCCTATGAGTTCTTTCAATGATTGCCTGTCCCTGTGGGTTGTATGGGATACCTCTGGCAGACTGTATGTCCCAGTATTTCAGGAAGGAATTAAATTCTTGTGATGTATATGCTGGCCCATTGTCAGTCTTTATGGTCCAGGAGACACCAAGGACCAGCATGGCTGATTTAACTGCCTTTATCGCATTACTAGCCTTTTCTCCAGATTGGGCTGTTGCAAATACAGCCTTTGAATAAGTATCTACCACCACATGGGCAAACTTAAGTTTGCCAAAGGAGTTAATGTGTGTGATGTCCACTTGCCAGAGCTTATGAGGAGCAAGGCCTCGCGTGTTCACTCCTGCTTGTTGCAGTGGGCCTAATAGGGCAAAGGGTGCACAATTCTTGCAAGAGTGCACTAGGTGTTTGCATTGGCTCATTTTTAGCTCTGGGAAAAGCAATTTTATGTTGCTTGCTGACATGAAATTTTTGGTGTAGAATACGGACTTCTTCTAGGTGTCCAATTGAAGCTTTTTTTACATCTGGGACACAGCATTTTGGGCTTGCCCTATCTGTCAGCATTTGGGCAATTTCACTGTAGGTGTCCTATTTCCTGGCATCCCCAACAAACTGGAGGGTCATTAGACTTCTTTGTGTTGTTTGTTAATGGCCGTAGTTAGGGCCTGTATGGGTGTTTCAGCAGGGTTTACCTCCACTCCCCAATTGGCCACAATGGACAGAGTTGTGCTCTTCCAAAGCCAGGAGCCAGAAGCTTCTTCCAGAGCCCTCCAACATGGATGCAGGGGTCCAAGGACTTGGGCCATCTTCTACTGCTTTCCCAGGCCATAGCAGAGAGCTGGATTGGAAGTGAAGCATCCAGGACTCAAACCAGAGCCCATATGGGATGCCAGCACTGCAGGCAGTAGCCTTACCCGCTATGCCACAGCACCGGCACCCACACTGGCTCTTTTGTTGGTGTCACTAGTCCAACCACACCACAGCACAGCAACTTGGGTTCCTTAGAGATGGCCTTTGTTTCCATTTTACCCCCCAAAATTTGCTTCTTGCCCAAATGAGAGCCTCTGTAGACACCAGGATGGAGGCCCCTGAGCTCTCAGCTTGCCCATCTGTGTAGACATATGACACTAATGTAGCAGTGTGGCCCAAGGCTGACACTGCTTCTTGGCAATATCTGCCTCTTGTCATTCCAGGCTTAAACTTTTCTGACATTCTAGTACTAGCAGATTGTGCATCAAGTGGATCCCAGAGTTAATACTGTGAGGAGACAGACTAATGAGGATATTTTTTACCAAAGGTAATGAAATACCGCATAATGTCTGCATTTTAACTGTTGAGTTGAGGGCATCCTTTGGAAACTGAATGTACCAAAAACTCAGGACATTTTTGGAAATCGTATGCTTTGCTAACTTGGTGTCAGTTTTTATACAATCATTATTTTGTGAGTTATATAAAATAGAAAAATAGAAAAATAAGTAATAGAAATGTTGTTTTATTATTCTGTGATAAGCAACTATTTAGGAAAAACTAATAAAAGTGATAGCTTGCTCTCTCTTACTTTGGCTTCCACTTAACTGAATCTTAATTTTAAAAGAAGGTCTGGCATTGTGCCACAGCAGGTTAAGCCCTGTTTGTGGCAGCAGTATCCTGCACTGGAATGCCTCTTCAAGTTCTGATTGTTCTGCTTCCAATATAGTGTCTTGCTATTGTGCTTGAGAAAGCAGTGGAAGATGACCCATATACTTGGCCTCTGCCACCCATGTAGGAGACCAGGATGTAGTTTCTGGCTCCTGGCTTCAGCCTGGCCCACACATGCATGTTGTGGCTGTTTGGGCAGTGAGCCAGTAGAAGTAAAATCTCTTCACCTCTCCCTTCTCTCTGTTGTTCTGCCTTTCAAATAAATCTGAAAATGTGACAGACTTTCAAAATTTAACATTGTATCAAAAGGAGTTACTAAAATGCATTTTTCTCATATGAAATATCAGGAAATATTCTCAGTGGACAAAAAACATGAATGTAGAAATGAAATAAGGTGATTTTACTTTCAATACCTGGTTAAAATCTCTTGACACTAAAAAACACAACAAAAAGCATTGAGGAAAGTTTGTGAGAAGATGTCAGGCAAACAACAGGCAATAAAACATTGAGATCACCAAGAAAAGAAAATTTGACAAGCAGTCAGTACAGCTATATGGGTTCCTGCTGGGAAAAATGACTTTTCAACAATACAATGAGCTGGATTCCAGTCAATACCTGTTGCTATTGAGATGCAGTAGTTACCATATCTGAGGACAGCAAGAACTTTCCAAAGAAGAAACTGGAATGAATATAACTGAACAGATGAAAACTTGAGAGCTGGATATGTAAAGTCCCCACAAGCCCTTGAGCATGAGATAATTTGAGCATCAATGAAGTGAAACTATATGAGGTTCACCAGAGAGTAACTGATCCTGAGGTGGGAGTGTAAAAATATATTTCAGATTATTTGGTTTGGAGGGTATCTAAGTTCTAACCCAAGTAAGACCTTGTTGACATATTATTAACTTCACAGGCATGTAAGTGAAATACCTAAAGGCTGTACTTTATAAGTAAGAACCACACACTACAATAATGCTTATTTTAGACCACTCTACAAAAAAAGTATGTTAAATAGCCCTGGTTTGATGTTAAGGGAAATAAAATGTTGGAGGTCAAGACCTTCAAAGCTAATAGTGTTTATGGAAAACTTGACATATAGTCAGGCCTACTACAGAAAAGCTGAAAAACCAAGACTAAACAAATTCAAGGTGACAAGCCAGTAATTAGGCTACCTATTAGTACAAATATGAACATAGGAGTCAAATAAAACTGTTACCTGGTGAAATAATGAAATAACATTGACCAATCTCCTCACTGAAATCATATAAAATGCTGAATTCATGGCTTTCAAATTGCCCTTGCAAAAATATTGGAGTTTTAATCTAGAAGAAATGGACCAGCTAAAATACACAATCTGCCTCAACTTGCATCAGAAGAAATAAATATCCTAAAAGTTTCTATATCTATTAAAGAAATTCAGTTAAAAGATGTTTTCACAGCAGTTGCTGCTTGATATGCCTGCAACCAACAGTGGACTACCTTGGTTCAAGTAACAGCTCCACTCCCAATTCAGACTCTCTACTGACATGCACACTGGTAGGTAAAAGCCAATGTCTAAAATTTCTGTGTCTCTATCACTCACATCAAAGATCTGGATTATACTAATATGGAGAGACCTGGGTTGTGTTTATGTCTCCAAACTGCAGGCTTCCTGAGTTTCAGCTGTTGTGGTCATTTGGTGAATTGAACTGCAAGAGAAGAGACCTCTCTTTATGATTTTCACATAAATAGATAAAAAATAAATATAAACAAAATTTAAAGATAAATTAATTCAGTAACAATCTCCTAAAACAGAAAGCACCAGGCCCTGATGGGTTTGCTGAGAAATTCTATGTAACATCTAAGAAAAAATTGCTGTAATTATTTATGAAGTTTTCTGGAAGATAGAACTTGAAGAAATGCTCCCCTATCCAAACCATACAGAAAGGGTACAGGAAAATAATTTAAAGGCCAGTGTCTTTCTTATACATAGATGCACATATTTTAAAATTTTTCATAAAATTCAATAAAGTATTATAAGAGTGATGTTTGATAAATGTATGGAATTAGTTCCAGATATTTAAGGCAGGTCAAACTGGTGGCAATTTAATTTCCCAAATCAATGGAAAAAAAGAAAAGCACAATTTTATCAATTTGATGAATACAGAAAATCCTGACAAAGTCTAACACCATGAGTGATGAAACAAATGGATCAAAAATTAAGTAAGAGCCTCCAGCCCAGGATGTCCTCAGGTTGATACAGTACATTTACACAGACCTCTCAGCTCACATTATAGAGAATGATAGAAAGCCCCAAGTTTTTCCACTAAAATGAGGAATAAAATAAGCGTGTGTCTTCACAACCAATTTTCAACATGTTACTGAAAGTCCTAGCCAATGCAGTAAAGTAAGAAATAGAAATAAAATGCATACAGTAAGAAGAGACACTCTGTGGAGCAGCAAGGATTGCACCGACACACAGCAGCTCAGGGGACACCACCAGCTACTCCTATGGCTGCAGCTCCTGCAGGCCTTATCTGGCAGTGAGGCCATCTTCCCAGAGTAAGTTGAGAGGATTCTGTACAAGCCTGTGCATCATTGATGATCCTGTCTGGAGACGAGATTTGTGGTCCCTGCTGACTCTCATTCTGGTGAGGTGAGTTATCCAGGGACAGTGTCCACTTAACTTTGTGAATGGAGGGCACATTGCCCCTTCCCCCACCAGGGGGGAAAGTGCCACCTTCTCATAGTAATGGGAGTAGAGGCTGCCACAGCTAGTGAATGTCTTGGGTTTTTATCACAGAGAGAAATCTACAATCTCCACTGACTTTGAGTCCAGAAAGAGGAGCTGGTGGGGGCAGGGCACCCATTTAGCTCAGGGAATGGAGAGTATGTTGCCTTCCTGCCCTATCCCAAGGTCAGGGAGAGAATAGGTCTCTGGGTAGAAAGGCTCCAAGGGCAGAGAGTGGATACCCTACAGTCTGACTGCAGGAACCCTACACTCTGTGACTGGGAATGGAGGTCTTATGCTATAAGCCAGGAGGACTCCATGTTCAGGCTACATAGTGGACAGATTTTTGTGCAGTTTATGCACCTGAGTGAGTTGGGGGCAGGGTGCAGGCACAGAGAAGTTCATCTTGGCACAGAGAAGGGTGGAGGCAGTGACCACAACAACCAGGGGGATCATCCACTCTCTTCTGCTGAATACAGAGGAGAGCTACCATGCATATTTTGGGTGTTACCCTGGACTTTGACCTCACACACAAATGCTGACCAGAGCTTCCAGATCCCACTCAGCACACACCTCTAGATATCCACTGAAGGTGCAGGCATCTCCCTATTCTTAGGGGCACATTCCTAATAACAAAGACTTCAAAGGAGATATCCACAAGTGCTTCTCCAGATGTGTAAAAATCATAAATATGAGATATATTAACAAGGAAGACAATATGAAACACCAAAGAGAACACAATAATACTTCAATATTGGACTGTGAAGATGAGGATCTTGACAAAATGCCTGAAAAGGCATTCAAAAGACTTATTGTAAGATTACTCAAAAATACAGAAAAACAATTACATGAGTTAAAGAAACTGATGCATGCCACAGATTAGAAATTCATCCAAGAAATAGAAATATTAAAGAATAACCAAATTGAAATATTAAGAAATGAAGAATTCAATACGTCAAGTAAAAAATACAGTGAAAAGCCTGAACACCATTCTCAGTGGTGCCAAAGAAAGAATATCCATGGTGAGAGACTAAGGTTTTGAAATATCACAGTCTTGGGGCCAGAGCTGTGGCTCAGTGGGTTAATGCCCCGGCCTGAAGCACCAGCATCCCATATGGGTCCTGGCTCAAGTCCTGGCTGTTCCACTTCCAATCCAGCTCTCCACTATGGCCTGGGACAGCAGCAGAAGATGGCCCAAGTCCTTGGGTCATTGCACCCATGTGGGAGAACCAGAAGAAGCTCCTGGCTACTGACTTTGGATTGGCACAGTTCTGGCCATTATGTCCAACTGGGGAGTGAACTCTCAGATGGAAGACCTCTCTCTCTCTCTCTCTCTCTGCCTCTCCTCTCTCTATGTAACTTTGACTTTCAAATACATAAATAAATCTTTAAAAAAAAGAAATATCATAGTCTGACAAAAAAAGAAAATAAATTCAGAAAAATGAAAATAGTGTTTAGTCTATGAGATACCATCAAGGCCAAACTACACATGTCTTAGACATTCCCGAAGGAATGGAAAAACAAAGTAACTTAGAAAACTTACTGTGAAATAATAGAAGAAAATTTCTGAAATTTGGACAAAGATATGAACATTCAAGTACAGGAAGCACATAGAATCCCAGATAGACATGATTGGCAAAGGTCTTAATCACAATATAGAATATTCAAACTTTCAAATGTAAAACACAAGGAAAAGATGCTAAAAAGTACAAGCAGAAATGCCAGATTATCTTTAAAAGAGCTCTATTTTGACAGATTTCTCATCAAAAACTCTACAGAAGAGGGTAGAACAGAGAGACATAGTCCAAGTCCTCAAAGAAAAACAAAACTGTCAGGCTAGAATACTGTATTAAATTATTTGCATTACCAATTAGCACCCATTTATAAAGATGCATTCTTAACATTGTTTGGTCTGTTGGAATACAGCAGAAAAATTAAAACACTTCAGA